CACAAGGTACAAATTGTTATGTAATAATTTGTTTCCCCTTTATTGTGATTCAAATAATAATCTCTTTACGCAAACTCACTCACTTACCAAACCATGTAACAATGAGTTCCGAAAGACTAATTTCCTCAAAAACCGGCGAGGTCGTTCGAGGCCAAGGACGTAGCTACCTCGTGGATCAAGGAACCAGTAGATGAAACCGTGCAACGTGAAGAATCCAACCATCAAGAAAGGCACAATGGCTAATTCCCTCGACTTGGACGAAATCAGATACATCCCTGATACAAACGCAGAGACCATTGCGATTAGCGATACAACCATTAACAGAGCAGACATGTAGAGGAAAGCAGAGCGTGCACGGAATCCGTCTCTTGATGCGTAGAACAAGAAGTAGACTGTGGTTACGGAGAAGCAAAAGGCGATTGTATCAAACACCAAGAAACATTTGAAAGCTGTTTCTTCCATCAATGCAGGTGTACCGTCGGGTTTGTAACCTCCGGGTAGTTGAAATGCCGCAGCAAATGCTACAGTTGCGACAAGAACCGCGACTAGAAGATGTACCTCGTACATTGCACCGTAGTTTATTGCATTGCTTTCTACAAGATCTGCCTTTTCTTGCTTCTTCTTTGTCTCTATGTTCTCTCTCTGTGACGGTTGTTTGTAAAATCTTTGCAGTGCATAGTATGCCATTGCAACCTTGAAACCAAGCTGAAAAAAACCGAATTTACGACACATCGGTTAAAAGGGGACAAACCAATACTTATAATTGAGAGTACGCAATGTAATGTACCTCTAGCTTCTGTGAGTAGAAGAGTTCAGCAGCTGTAAAGTGGTTATGGTTCATAACACGCTTATCCACTCGCTTGTTACGCAAAAGAAGCAGCAAGATCGCGTAGCGTTTGTAAATAACCGATAGATGGAGAGGAGTGTTTCCTTCTGCATCGCTTTCGTTCAGCAGATAAAGACAAATCTCAGGCATTTCTACAACACAGTGAATGATTCCTCTTTGTCCTGATATGACTGCAGAGTGAAGAGATGTTCTACCTTTACCATCAACTATTTCCCAAACATAAGGACAGCTACTAATAAGCTCTCTATACGCATCGATTTGACCACAAGACGCAGCAAGATGAAGCGGAGACTGTCCTTCCTTATCGGATATATAAGCAGCCGAGTTATCTTGTCGAAGAATGAGTCGAGTTATCTCCATTTTTCCTAGCCATACCGAATAATGAAGAGGTGTCCATCCGTTAGTATCGACTTCTTTGATCATTTCCGGCTTTTTCTCTATCAATTTTCTCAAGAAATCAGTACTGACAATGTCCGAATCCACAGCGGCGTGCAGAGCATTCATATCTTTAGGCCCTTTACCGGAAACCGAAGGAAATGTTTCCAAAATGTGATCAGCAATGTCGTAAAGCCCTCTTTCGACAGCTAAGTACAATGGAGACAATACATTGTTGTTGGTATTGGCTACATCTAGCAATCCTATGTCTTCTTCAACTAGGAACTTAGCAACATCAACATGTCCGTTCTTTAATGCCACATTTAAAACTGTATCGTTCTGCTTATTAGTAGTCCTCAATAGCTGCTTCCGCGTGTCGATTATACTCCGGTTTTCGACATCTGAAGTTACTTGATTGGCTGAATTCACAAGAAGTTTTAAAATTTTAAAGTAACCAACACTAGCTGCAACGTGTAGAGGTGTGTCTCCATTGTTGTTTGCTCTAAGTAAGAGTGATGGACAAAGATCGAGTATGGCTGCAACGAAATCTTGGCTCTCATGTTTAACTGCAATGTGAAGAACATTGTTGTTCTGTGGTGTTACCTTGTCGAAATCTGATTGATGAAATTTGGTAAGATCAAGAAGATTAGTGTCCCCTTTAGCTGCAGCTTTAAGCAATCTCCAGTCCATGGATCTGCACAGTTTTGTTATGTCTCAAGAACGATTCTGCTGTAACAAAAGAGCCAACTTTATCAGGAAAAAATGGAAAAACAACTAAAGATCCTAATTGTAGTGATCATAGAATGTTACACGAGTTATATAGAATCTGGATCAACTGAACTTTACCAAAATCTGCAAGTAAGCTTGATGCAAATATGATTTCTTGGGAGAGAAAGGAAAAGTATTCTTGTATTGTATCCACAGAAGTCAGATTCTTTAGTTTTACAGCAACCACGAAAGAGGTTATATCAGGATCAAAGGGATATTGAAGAGATATTGAAGAGATATTGGGACGAATTGTTTAAGAAAGACAAAAAGAATCTTTATTATTCAGAACACTCAAAAGATTAGAAAAACTCTTGTAAATTTTACAACACCTACCCGAGCCTGGTAATATTCTTTTCTTTATTACATTATTTATTTTATTCCCCTTGTCAGATGGATTAAATATGATTTAAAAAAAGAGAAAATCACAAAACATGATATAATTTGGTAATTTCTTTTTAAATCCAGACATTTGAATAAATATGGTTTACTGTCGAAATTAATAAGGACAATACTGAATGGTACACAAAATGAAAAAAAAAGTAACACCATCATATCTCAAAACAACGACTGGGAAAAAAAAAATGAAAATTGATTCAAGAACTAGGGTGTTCGCTAATAACAACATATACTCGATTAGGTATCACCTAGCGTTCTCACTCTTCCTTGCAACTAGTAGAACATTCTAAACTTAATCTCTTTGATCAGTAATAGCCTGAGCTGAAATCCGCAGGGTATCCACCAGGCGGGTTTGTTGGAGCTGTTGCGTAGACTGGGCCGTGTGTTGCGTATTGGTTATAGCCTTGTTGCTCTGGGGCTACAGTTTGCGGCTGTGCTGGTGCTGGTGCTCCAGCTTCGGCCATGAAGTTCTGTCATCAACACAATCAACGGTCAGAATTCATCGTAAAAAAAAGACCAGCTTCTGTTTTTTTTCATACAGGTTCCACAGCTGCAAGGTTACATCACTATCCTATTGAATTGCGAGATATATGTACCTGGATAAGCTGCATAGCGGCTTGGACTTGTGAGCCAGTTCCGCTAACCTCAACAGTCATTTCACCAGGTACTCCCCTAGTTTCCTGAATGGTTACTGTTGCTCCACTAAGACGTCGAGTGTAGCTGATGTTTGAACCTGATGTCCCAATCACGGCATCAGCATAAGACAGTGGAATCTGCATTTGCTGCGTAAGTTGCTGGAAAAGCAAACGAATCCTCATCAGTCAGATTCTATGAAGATGCTAAACACATCATTGCAGTACATTGAGGAGGTGAGTTCTCCGAGATGTACTAAAATCGACTTCACGACATGTTGAAGAGATTTGAGGAATACCTGAGCGACCATAGGTGGAGCCGATGATACATGCACATTCATAGGAGGCTCCCTTCCATATGCAGATATCCCTTGATGAGGCTGTTTCTCCATTGGAGGTGGACGCATCTCAGGAGGAGGATAGTAACTATCATGTCTAGGAGGTGGTTGCATGTATGGAGGTGGGTTGTGACCATAGCCAGGACCTCCTCCACCACTTGGGGCATGGCCTTGAGGTGGACCCCAAGCCTGGTGTGGCGGCGGCATATGATCCATCTGGCGAGTTGGCTTTTGCATCTGTTTCGGAAGCAGAGTAAAGAGAAAAAGTTCATACATGCAACTGAGAAACATTGCCAAACATCCGACGAGAACAGCAGATAACCAACCTGATTTTCAAAGAATGGGATGATGCTACGATCAACCAAGAACTTTCTGAGATGTGATGCAATCAGCTCCAAGGCTTTATGAACACTTGTTGGATCCCCCACAACTTCGACAACCCTATCGTCTTGAAGAGCAAAAACAGGCAAATCCTCTACAAAAATCAACATAACAAATTTCAGTAAGAACTAAGGAATAAACGAACCACACCAAAAAAAAGCCAATCTGAAATGGAGAAACAGAAAATCACTAGAGAGATCCTAATCAGGTTTAGAATTGGTTCACGTTATCTCTATCACCAAAAAAAGAAGAAGCAGGAAAGGCGATTTCAGAATGAAAAATGTGAAGAAAAGGAACCTGCTCCAAGAACTCTAACTATACAACCAGATGCTTCTTGAATGGCTTTAACTGTTCCTCCCTGTTTTCCAATCAAACTTCCAGCCTGAGATGCTGGGACTAGTAATCTTGTTGAAACCTTTGAAGGCGGAGGGGCCTGAGAAGCTTCACCATCCAGACCATCAACTATCCGCATGTGGACTCTCAGAAGGCCATCCATAGAAGGAGGCAGAGATGATTCGGGCTCTTCTTTTCCAGAAACCATAACCTGCCGACAAAGAGGAAACAAACAGACAACATTACTAAACAGCTTAAGACATTTCACAAACAGCAATCTTAGTCTCTATACCAATTAATCATTTTGGTGCCATATTTCTCAGAGCGTAAAGAAAATTCAAAACTCATAAGCTTTTTGACCAGTTAGTTATTTATTAACTGTTATGATCTTCATTTCAAGTTTGTACCCATGGTAATTAGATTATCGCCTTTAAGATGCCATAGCAGCCATTACCAATCTTCTAGACTTAGAGAAGCTCTTCATAGAACCTTTTTCATTCAATCTTAAATTTCTCTTTACTTAATTGTTGCCTAAACCATAATCTCATCGTCCACATATTGTTACATCCGTTTAAGCAGGTCCTTGCATGCTGCAGAAAGTCTGCAGCAATACATCAATCATCCAGGTACTGAAGTTACCAGAAAGAATGCAGAACTTCATGGCTCTGAGGTTTATACAAGAAGAATCCTGCCTATTCGGATAAACTTATCCGCACTTTGTAGTGCTCAAGGCTGAATCCTTGCCGTCTGGCTTTGGTTCTTCATATCTGAGACCTTACAGATGTTGCCATAAAACTTGCAAGATGAAACCTGCACAGATTCATGGTGGTCACAGCAATAAAGGGAACCCTACTTATCAACTTCGTCGATTATCTTCCTCCTTTTACTTGAAGGAAATGATAAGCAAGCCTGCTACTTGATTAAGGCTTTAATTTACTTTACTAAGGTAGTTTCCCTTGATGCACTACATTCTTCAACACTTTTTTTAGCAGCTCAGAATCTTATCACTCAGCCAAACTAAAACACTTTTCTGGCATGACTTTGTTCATAACTTCTCTGAGTTAGGGGATGTGCAGTTTCCTATCCGTTTAGTTACATTTTACTAAGATCAAGGGGATAGTATGCTCAAGGGTTGTCTTACAACTAAGTTAATAGCCTTTTACATTTGTCAACAGAAGCTACAGCCTGAAAACTTCAGATCAATGAATTATACTGCCGAAAAGTGTAAATCTTCTACCATATTAGTTTTTTAACCATTAGGATTTAGTTTTGGTTCAAGAGCATTATTTGACTAATAATTGCAGTTCATATAACATTAAATGTAAGGCCAAGGGAAAAAAGATTTAGAGACTCACAGCTCTTTCGGTTGTGCCTGGAGGACCATCGAGAATCTTAATTCGAGCCCTTGTCTCCTCAACTATTTTCTTAATGACATCACCTTTGCGACCAATGATGCTACCCACTTTCTGTGCAGGAACCAGCATGCGGAATACCGTCTCTCCGGGCCATCCCGGCCACCTCTTCTCCTCACCTCCAACTGTTGCACCTCCTTCAGACTCTGATTTTAGTGTCAGTGTCGACTCGTCATGCTCGGGAATTCCTTCCTCATCTGCTACTTGAT